TCCATAGGCTACCACTTCTCTCTCACAGTTTATTGACGTAATAAAGCAGCATGGTATAGTAGAAAGAACACACTGGTTGTGGAGTCAGAAGGTTTTTGTTGTAGTTCATTTTTTCTTTTCAATCATCTCTGACTCCTTGCAACTCCATTTGTAAAGATAGCACCTCTAGTGGTTTCCCATGTCTTTCACCAGCTCATTTTACAGATGAGGAAATTGAGGTAAAAAGAGTTAAAATGACTTGCTCAGGATCACACAGCAAGTAAATATCTGAGGCCAGATATGAACTCAGGAAGCTAGGCCAGGCACTCTATCTACTGCACTATCTAGCTGCCACTTGGACTCAGAAGATCTGGGTTCAAATCCCATCTCTGAGGTTTACTACACATGCGACCTTGGGTAATTCTGTTAATCTTGCTGGGCCTCTGTGTCCTCATCTATAAAATGAAGGGTTTGATCTACATGGTCTCTGAGTTCATTTCTAGATTCTAATCTATGATCCTATGATGAGTCAAAAAGAGGAATTTGTAAAAAATTATATGGTGGGGCAGTTAGGTGGCACAGTGGATACAGCACCAGGCCTGGAGTCAGGAGGACCTGAGTTCAAATCTGGCCTCGGACACTTAATACTCACCAGCTATGTGACCCTAGGCAAGTCACTTAACCCTAATAGCCTCACCCCCCCCCCGAAAAAAGGTAATATGGCAAGATAGGGCTACTTTTGTGTTATTATGAACCCTCTGGGCCATTTGCCTTGAAAAGGAGAGTGTAGCCCTGAATCAGTTCTAGTGTGTGTGACATTCCACTGACCAGGGGTGGGGAAACTTGTGGCCTCAAGGCCACATATGGCTCTCTAGGTCCTCAAGTGTGGGCCCTTTGACTGAATCCAAACTTCACAGAACAAATCCCCTTAATAAAAGGATCTGTTCACAGGAAGATAAATATTGGAGAAGATGGGGGGAAATTAGAATGCTAATGCATTGCTGGGAGTTGTGAACTAATCCAACCATTTTGGAGAACAATTTGGAACTATGCCCAAAGGACTATAAAAATGTACATACCCTTTGACCAGCAATACCACTTCTAGGTCTGTGTCCCAAAGAGATCATAAAAATGGGAAAAGGACCCACATGTACAAAAATATTTATAGCAGCTCTTTCTGTGGTGGCAAAGAATTGGAAATTGAGGGAATGTCCATCAACTGGGGAATGGCTGAGCAAGTTGTGGTATGTGAATGTAATGGAATACTAATGTGCTATAAGAAATGATCAACAAGTGGACTTCAGAAAAACCTGGAAAGACTTACACGAAATGATGCTGAGTGAAGTGAGCAGAACCAGGAGAACATTGTACACAGTAACAGCCACATTGTACGATGACTAACTTCCACAGACTTGGCTGTTCTCAGCAATGCAAGGATCTAAGACAACTCCAAAGGAGTCATGATGGAAAACGCTATCCACATCCAGAGAAAGAACTCTGGAGTCTGAATGCAGATGGAGGCATGCTATTTGCTCTCTTTTTGTTGTTATTGTTGTTTTGTTCCTTCTTTCTCATAGTTCCTCCCATTGGTTCTAATTCTTCTTCACAACATGACTAATGTGAAAATAGGTTTAATATGAATATATATGTAGAGCCTATTATCAGATTGCATGCCATCTTGGGGAGGGGAGAGAGGAAGGGGAAGAAAAGGAAGGAGGGAGGGGGAGAAAATTTAAAAGCTTATGGAAGTGAATGTTGAAAACTAAAAATAAATAAAATTTAAAAATAAATTATTAAAAAAAGGATTTGTTCTGTAAAACTTGGATTCAGTGAAAAGGCCACACTCAAGGACCTAGAAGGCCACATGTGGCCTCAAGGCCACAGGCTCCCCACCCCCGTGTGACTAGACTCTAGTGACTGTAGAGCAACCCATGGTTGACTCTGTTTTGTCCATGGGGTGTTGTCTTCCCCTTTATATTAAAAACACCTGAAGATATGAAAACACTATGTAGCACAACAGAAGGAATGTTCCAAGTAGAGTCCTGAGGGCTTGAAATCAAAGCATATCAACTTCCTACTTGTAACCTTGGGCAAATCATTTAATTATTCTATCTAGGTGTCAGTTTCCTTCTCTACAAAATGAGGGCACCATCAAGTAAACACTAAATGTCCTCTTAAGTTCCTTTCCAGCTCTAAATCTATGGTCCTATATTCCCAATTTGGCCCTGTGTACTCTCAGGAAGGTTAGTCACTAACTTCAGCTGGAGAGAAAGGAAGGATAATCTCTTTCTAAAATATCTTGAACCAAATGCTCCTTTTTTTTCCCCCAAGGCTCTGCATTAGTTCAAATCAAAACCTACTTCAGTCAGCTGTAAAAAAGCTTTAAGCTTCCAGGGGATTAAATGAGACAAAAAGACCTCGACTTATTTATTCCATGCTGGCTTTCTTTCCCATTGTCCAATTTTTTTCTTATTCTTTTCTCCCCTGCTCCCCACTTCAATGGATTGTTAAATGGGGCATCAAAGTCATTCACTTAATATTCCAAATGAAGTGAAAACTGAAACATCTCTTTTCTTGTCATTGACCCATTTCTTTTGCCAGTTGGCAGAAAGTAATCCTAAAATACAACACTTTTTCCACCTTCTCATTAATTTATTCATTCTCCAAACACCTACTGGGTGTCCATAGTGTACAAGGCAAAGCATTATCGAAAAAAATACAATTCTTCAGAGACCAGAAAGAAAGAACACTGTTTGAGCGGTTCCATTGTGAAGCTACTAAATTCAGTACAGGGGCTAGTCACGCCACACATGCTATAAAGTTGCAAAATTTGTCTTGTCTCCATGTTCTCAGATTGTCTCTCTGCCATTCACCTTCCCTTTCCCATATTCCTTCCATAGGGGTCTTCTCCCTTCTGGTAGGAAAATAACTTTGTAAGCCCCTTCAAATTCCAAAGTTAAGTCTTACCAGGCAAAGTTACTTTCTTTCCAGGAATTTTTGCATAAAAAAAAAGACACCTGGAGAAGGTGCGTATTGTTTGTGCAAAATTCTAAATAAATATAAGAAGTTACTTATTTATTTATTGGGAGAAGGGAGATGCAATCAGGATTAAGTGACTTGCCCAGGGTCACACAGCTAGTAAGTGTCTGGGGCCAGATTTGAACTCAGGTCCTCCTGACTCCAGGGCCAGTGAGAATTTAAAGGAAAATACATGCATATGAACATGCACATCATATGTATGTGTGCATTTTATGTTTTTTAACAAAAAAAATCAATCTCAAATGGTGGAATTTCAGGGAAGTATTTAGGGGATGGGAAAACTCTGCAGAGACCTTCTTATCACACCAGATAGGTAGCTCTCTGGTGTTCCCTATATGTAATGCCAGACCTGGTCATGACAGCTGGAGTGAGAGTCCATGTGATTTGTATACAGGCAGCTAGGTGAAACAGTGGATACAGCACTGGATCTGGAGTCAAGAGGACCTGAGTTCAAATCCAACCTCAGTCACTTACCAGCTATGTGACCCTGAGTAACTAAATTTCTGTCTGCCTCAGTTCCCCCATCTGTAAAATGGAGACAATAATAGCATCTACCTACCAGCATTGTTGTGAGGATAACATGAGGTAATATTTGTAAACCTTAAAGTGCTATATAAATGCTAGCAATTGTTATTATTATAATTGTACATAGCTTCCACATTTAACTTTGCTGGAATTTAGCATGAACTATATGATCCTGTTTAAATGTTCCTGATTTCGAACTTTCTTAAAAACAAAAACAGATGTTTATGTCCCTAGAGCTTGGCTATATTCTCCCACATAATACTGCTCTGTTTTGATGTTTATTCTATCATCTTTTGAACTGTCACCAGAAATTCATGGTCTTGTGGTGCCAATTCCTCTGGTGACAGCCACTGATGAATGATGATATGGCTGCATCAGAACTCAAATCCTTTATCTGGGTCCCATGAAACTCACATTAGAACCACAACAATTCTGATTTTCCCCTCCTCATTACTTGAGAAGCAATAAGCAGGGATTTCTTTCTTTCTTTTTTAAAGTATGATAGAATGATACAAACCATTCCTTTGGCAAGCACAACACACAGTACATAACTGTTCTGCATTCTCTGATCATTTGTCCGAACAAGTTCATTTACTGGCCAGGAAATGCAAAAGCCATCCTCTCCATGTGTGAGTTCAGTGCTTGATTTCTCAATTTTAAAACAAATCTAGAGTAGTATATATAGGCATGCCCCACATAATCTATCCCCCATCAATGTCATTTTGTAACAGCATCATCAATAGGTTATTGAGAGGTGGTAAGGCAGAGAAAATCAGAGAGAGGTCTCAGGTCCTGAAGACCTAGATCCAGATGCTGCTTCTGACATATCCTGTCTCTATGACCTTCTAGCAAGTCATTTAACCTCCTCATTGCCTGAAGTAATTCTCTAAAACTACAAACTGCTGATGAATTGCCAATCTAAATTGGTATGAGGTGTTTTCCCCAACCTACTCCCTACATTAATGAATTTCTACACTAATGACATCATATATCCAAAGCAAGAAAAAAAAAATCACCAAAGCTTAACAACAACAACAACAAAATCCTGGCTAGAAAAGCAGATGTTCTTTGGCCAGTCATCCTAATCAAGGCCTCAGGGTTGGCATCTCCTCACCATTTTCCATTCATATTAGGAAATTCAAATTAGTTCTGTGATGTCGTTGGTTTGGGAACTGCCAGAGAGGAAACTCTCTCTTCCAAGGCAGATCTCCCAATGTTCTACGATTGGACAGTCTTACAGAGTTGCCTGGGACACTGAGAGGTAAGTGACTTGTTCAGGGTCACACAGCCAGTATGTGTCAGAGGCAGGCCTTGGATCTGGGTTTTCATAACTCTAAGGTCAGTTCTCCATCCACTCTACCATGCTGTCTATGGTAAATATAGATTTATGTTGTCCCCATCTCCACCATCGGGTTTTAGGTTCTACTATCATCTTCTATGGTAAAATCAAATCTTACCTGTGCCAGATGGTCACTCGGCTTGAAATCAGACTTCCCTTCAGACAAGCGAGATCTATAATGGCCTGTGACTAGAGGACCCTCTGTATTTGGCAACTGTTCACCTGTCCTGTCATCCACTTCCAGGGTCTCTAGGCGAGGGCCCCCCATCTCCATGAGGGTATAATGTCCATTCTCTAGCTCAGAGTCCTGACCGTTCCTGTTCTCCCCACCATCCTTGCTGACAGATGACCTGGAGATGACCCCAAACTTCCTTGTTCTTTTCCCATTCTGCACCAGACAGCTGCCGGGATCTGAGGTAGGAGTTGCTTTGGGTTCACAGCTGTTGCTGTTGTTGCCATTAGAAGGAGGGAGAGGAGCTTTGCGCTTAATGCGACGTAGCATGATTAGGTAGATAAAGCCGCCATTCCAGCACTGATCAGCCAGATAACTGCAGACGAAGTCAAAGAAGATCTCGTGAAAATCTTGCTAAAGCCCAAAGCAAAAAACAGTTAGTAGAGATATTTATCCCTCCCCATCCTACCCTTCATCCCCAACACCCAACATAATATGCTTGCCTAATAATACATTTAGCCAATAAAATGCAAGTGCTTATGGCTCCTTAAAGGGTTCAAACAATCCATTCACTTGGCATAAATAGCCAAAGTTGTTTTATATGAATGTGACTCAACTAGAAGTAACTAATAAAAATAGTCTAGGGTCAGGTTCCATAGAAGGGCATAACGAAAACAAACCCAATCCTTGTTCGTGGTTGGGCCATGACAACATAAAAGTGATGGTACTGCCTAAACTAACTGGTAGATTTAATCCTACACCAATCACGATACCAAGAGGTTACTTTATAGAGCTAGACAGAGGAACAAGAGATCAAGAATCTCAAAACAAATAATTTAAAAAGTGGGAATGAAGGGGCCTTAACATTACCAAATCTCAAACTATATTAAAGAACAGTCAACACTACTTTCACATTGATTAAAAAAAAAATTGACCCATGGATCAATAGTAAGATCCAAACCAAATCAAATGTGGCAGCCTAGTGTTTGATAAGCCCAAGAACACCAATTACTAGGGTTAAGGATTCTCTATTCAACAAAAACTTCTGGGACAACTGAAAATGTTTGGCAGAAATTACCGTAAGAAGCTATAAATGTATATATGACCCGAATACAAAAGGTCACATAAATATTAGAAGGGAATGGAAAGAGGTATCCTGTAAATCGTAGTTAAGGGATAGATTTCTTAACTATAGCAGGAGATAGAAATGATTAGGGAAGATAATATGAACAGTTTTAACCACACAAAACTGGAGTTTTGCACAAACAAAATCAATGCAGCTAAAATTAGAAGAGAGAGTTAATTGGGAAAAAAGTCTTTGCAAGAACTTGTTCTGATAATCATAAGAACAAGTGCTATTTCCCAAAAGAGAAGTTGTCAAAGGATATATATGAACAAAAAGTTTTCAAAAAAAGAAATCTGCAAGTTATTCATAACCATATGAAAGAATGTTCTGAAACACATTTAATAAGAGAACTACAAATCAAACAATGCTGATATTTCACCCAATACCTATCAGGTTGGCAGAGATTACAAAACATGACAATGGAAAATATTAGAGAAACAACAAAAAGAAAAGTATACTAATGCATTGTTGATGGAGCTATGAATTGGTCCAATTATTCTGGCAAACAATTTGGAATTGCACCAAAAAGCAATTAAACCATATACAACTTTGAACCCAGCAGTACCACCACCTGGAACATAGTAAGAGAATAATCAATATTTTTTCCATCATCTATCTATCATCTGTCTACCTATGTACCTGTCTATCTAGCTAGCTATCTATATTTACCTACTCCAAGAAGATCAAAGAAGAAAAGGTTGTATTACAATTGTATGCTAATGTGTATGTTTACAGATAGACATGTATGTGTGTATATATATGTATGTTTACACACATAAAATATTTATAGTAGCACTTTTTGTATTAGAAAAGAAACAGAAGTAAAGAAGATGCCCATCAGTTGACAAATAGCTGAAATATGATATTTTAACGTAATGAACTATTAATGGTTATATGATATGACAAATAATAGACTTGTAAGTACTAAGAGTGAAATAAGCAGAATAAGGATAACTGACATGATGATTACAAAAATGTAAAGCAAAACCTTGAAAGACTTCAAAACTCTGATCATCAGAGTATCCAATCATTACTTCAGAGGGCTGAAGGTAAAGCATAACTCCCACCTCATGGCAAAGGGGTAGTGGAGGATAAATGCAGAACAATGCAGACATTTTCCAGACCTAGCCAGTGTGTTCTTTTGTTATGCACCATAACTGTATTTATTTGTTAAAAGTGTGGGATCTATTGGAGGGGCTGGAAGTCATTGGGAAGTGACAATGATATTTAAAAATAATGCATTAATAAAATTTTTAAAAATCCAATCATACATAACACTAATAAATATTTCTAGTCTCTCAACCACACTGCACCTCGATCATGCTACCGACCTTTCAACTCAGATCACTGTAATTGAAGGCAATGAGCCTAGAAAATAAAGATGAAATTTAATTGGGGTAAATAATTTATCCAATTTCAGAATGGGGAAAGTCTTGATTGGCAGAAGTACAAGCCAGTCACTAAACATTTACTAAACACCTACCATGTGCCAGGTTGGTTGGGATACAAAGAAAAGCCAACAGCAGTCCCTAACCACAAGTAGCTCACAGTCTAATGTGGGAGACCATGCAAATAACTATGTAGAAACAAGATATATACAGGAGATAATCATCAGAGGGTAGCCTCTAGCATTCAGGTACAAAAAGGCAACTACTATTCAATTGAAAAAAAACCCTTTAGGTTATTGAGCTGATAATAAGCTTAAGACGACCACTAAGTATGGTGTGGTTACTTAAAAAAAAAAGCTAGTAATCTTAGGCTGTATTAATAGAAATGTAACGACCAAAATTTGAGTAAATAATTCATGGTTAATAGAGAGAACATCAGTAACCACAGACCTATATGCGTTTTTTCTCATCTATATAAAATCTTTATGAAAGTGATTCATAAACCAATTTAGAGCATCCTCAATAAGGGTTTTAGCAGAGAACAAGCAGGCCTTTGTGAGCAATGTTCAACCACATCTTTACCATCTGACAATTATTATAGAGGCACCTAGGTGGTGCAGTGGATGGAGTACTGGGCTTGGAGTCAAGGAGACTTGAGTTCAAATCCAGCTTCTATACTGTGTAATCTTGGGCACGTCACATCACTCAACCAGTTTGCTTTAATTTCTTCATCTGTAAAATGTACTTATCTCCCAGGTTTCTTGTAAGGATCAAATTAAATAATATTTATAAAGTGCCTGGCACATGGTAGGCACTATGTAATAGCTATTAGTATTATTATTATGTCAAAAACATAAGATCCCATTGCATTTATTGCTTCTGGATTATGAAAAAGCATTTGATTTGCGGGAACAGAACACTACCATAAAGCTCTTTTTATGGCAAGCTCTCAGCCATACATCCAGATCACCTAGAATTCCTCGGCAGAAGTGACACCAAAAGTAATGCCGTTCGGTGATACTCTGATAATGAACATAAGTGAAGTACAAAATAGAGAGATATATAATCTCCAACGGTGTTTGTTTGCACTGGGATAGAGAGCTCACACAGAGTCCAGGTTAAAGAAGGATTTCCTTTGGACGGTGAAGTCCTTCAGGTGCTTCTGTCTGCAGATGACATTGTGCTGTTCTCATTAAGCCCAGTGATCATGGGGAGCCTCTCAGAAGAGAGCTATAACCACTCAAAGGAGTTTGGCCTTTCCATCCATGTAGGAAAGACCAAGCTGGCTGAAAAATATCTATTGCCCATATTAAAACATGCATTTGGAGGTATATGTTAAAGTTTTTGTCCAATTGTGTGTGTATGTGTATATATATCTGGGGGTGTATGGGGTGTTCAGGAGGACTAGCACCCCTGATATGAGGACACTGAGCCCTTTTCAGGGCTGCTCATCCACCTTTGGTGTCCACCTTCACCCAACTCTCACTTGTGGCTCGAAGAAGCAGTAGGATGCACAGCAGCCACACCCCAGTAAAACTGTCTTGGCAGATGGGCTAACCAGATTGAGGGTAACCGATAGACCCTGTCAGTGAGGTAGGGGGAAGTCTTTCCAAGCATGTAAAGACTCCTCCCAGTGGATTAGGTGGATGAGAGCAATTCCAACAGCCATAAAGGCAGCGGAAACAGCCACTGTTGAGCACTTAGAGATTGGTCAGATATTAAAGATGCCAAGGTCATCTACTGCATTCTGGAGGCCATTGACGGTTGTCTTGACTTTTGTCCTGCCATTGAACTCTAATGACTTTGCAAGAAGGAGTAAGGCAGACAACTTTGTGCAGCTCTGCCTCACTTAAAAGCAAGTCACACACAAATCAAGACCCCACTCCATGATGTCACTGGTCCTCTTCAAAAATGAAGGACAAACAGCAATAACTATCTGGGACAGACAATGTAAATGGCCAGTGAACAGGATCCAGAGTTGAAGAGGAAGAAGAGAGCATGCTCTACTGCTTTTGGAAAACTGACCCCAAACTTCCCATGAAATTAAAGGACTATCTTTTCAATGCTCTTTACCAGTGATTCTACATGACAGCCAGACATGAACGCCACTGCATTTGAAGAACCAGAGATAAGTATCACACAAATGGTAATAAGAATGTATATGGTGGATGCTAGTAGGCTGCAACATATTATCAATGAGGAACTCAGAAGAATAGAAGAAAAGAGGGGCTGGTCATGCGGGAAAGGCAAAGGATCATATAGGTGGATGACCAGAGAGCTCCACTTATAGTCTCACATGGTTATGAGATGTCAAGGGAGGACTCCTGCACTTTGGGCGGGCAAGCTTTTGGGAGAACAAGGACAAGAGTGGAACAGAATGGGCAGGCATAGGTGGTTTGAGATTTGTATCACTGGAGGGAACTCCCAAATCAATGAGATCATAGGTCTATTTAAATATCTGAGTAATGAGCAAAAACAAGGGAGGTCACTCCAGAGCAGAGTGTGGTGGGTTTGATCACACATAAAATAATATGTCTTGTCCTAACTTGTATATTTTAAGTGTGACACTAACAGAGGAAAGTGGGCCATGACCAGGATAATGATGGGCATCTAAACAAGGTTATAATAGGAACAATTTAGAGCCAGTTAGAGGATTTTGGGGTTCAGTTCATATGGGGATGTTAGCCAAGTGAGAAAACAACATGGGGGAAGGGGGTCATGGTCTTCACATTAAATATTTGGAAGACTGTTATGTACAAAGCCAAGGCCAAGAGGCAGAAATTAAGCAGAGGCAGATTTCAGCCCAACTTTATAGAGAGCGAACAATCATAATGAGCTACCAATAGAATTAGTAGTAGATTA